TCCCTCCTGGTACCTAGTGGAGCCTCCGGCGGCCAGTCTACGGTCTCCGCCAGGCGCCGCGTGAGTGGCACGACACACTGAGGACTACACTTGCGGCTCTTGGGTTTGCTCCTTCTACTGCTGACCCGTCGCTGTTTCTGCGCACCGACACCTCGCTGCCGCCGTTCTACATCCTCGTGTACGTCGACGACTTGGTCTTTGCCACTGCGGACACTGCCGCACTCGCCCACGTGAAGTCCAAGCTGCAGAAGAGACACACGTGCACAGACCTGGGTGAACTGACAAGCTATCTTGGCTTGCGGATCACCCGGGACAGAGCACGCCGCACCATTACCCTGACTCACTCACACATGGTGCAGCAGGTCCTTCAGCGCTTCGGCTTCACGTACTCCTTGCCTCAGTCCACTCCTCTGCCTACGGGACACTCGCTCTCAGCTCTGCCTTCGGATGAGTCCGTAGAGTCGAGTGGTCCGTATCCAGAGCTTGTGGGCTGCGTCATGTACCTGATGACTTGCACTCGACCTGACCTCGCATACCCTCTCAGCATCTTAGCACGCTATGTTGCTCCCGGCCGTCGCCGGAAGGAGCACATGGATGCAGCTAAGAGGGTGTTGCGCTACTTGTGCAGTACGTCGGGCATGGGGCTAGTGCTTGGAGGGCGTGAGCGTCCTGTGCTTACTGGGCACTCAGACGCTTCTTGGGCTGACGACCAGGCTACTCAGAGGTCGTCTCAGGGTTACTCCTTCAGTCTTGGCTCTGGCTCTGTCTCTTGGCGCTCTACTCGCTCTTCTTCGGTTCTCAGCTCCACCTGTGAGGCTGAGATCTACGCCACGGCCATGGCTGCCCAGGAGCTTCGCTGGCTCACCTACCTGCTGACTGACCTTGGAGAGCGGCCTCGTTCTCCTCCAGTGCTGTACGTCGACAACAAGGCAACCATTGCCTTGTGTGAGGAGCACAGTCTGGAGCACAGGACGAAGCACATTGCTCTGCGCTACTTCCTTGCTTGAGAGCTGCAGCAGCGTGGTCAGCTTCGCCTGCGTTTCGTGGCCACTGAGGCCAACACTGCTGATGTGTTCACCAAGGCACTTCCGCCTCGTGACCATCAGCGCTTTTGCACTCTGCTAGGCCTTGTGCCCACTGGGCCTCACTTGCTTACCTCTTGACCTTGCTTGTACTGCTGCATATATATATCCTTGCTCTTGCTTGTTTAGCACTGTTATATATATATGCTCTGCTGCATGTGAACTGGCCTTGTGGCCTTGACCTTGTGCTCGGAATTTGTGTGGTATCCTTGAGATCCACCCTGAGCTTGCTTTGCTTTGCTTGACTGGTCTTGTGACCCCTTGCTCTCCCCCACTTTGCCTATGGGGGTGTGTCAGATGATTATATTACTGATGCATATATTTAGGCTGTAGTGGGGTAGCCCATAGGGGGTACAACCCAATTAGGGTTGGTACTTGTACTTGTTTCATTTCATAGTGCACTCATTCCTCGCCTCTATCTCAACAGAATGAGCACTTCACCTTACTCTGCGACAACCTGAGCGCAATCAAGATTGTGAACAAGCCCAGCTTCGTGAACCGCACACAAAACATCGCACCATGTTACTTCTTCGTCAAGGACGAGATTGACAAGGGCAAGGTCAAGCTCACGTATTGCCCAACTGGTGACATGGCAGCAAATTTTTTTACCAAGTAGCTACCACGTCAGAAGTTTCGGCACTACACCGACCTCTGCGGGATCTCGAAGAAATCCCACGTGGCTCACCTTCAGAAATAAAGGGGAGTGTTGGAATAAACGAAAAGGTTATAGTGTCAGAATGTTATATTTCTCTAGTCTGCAGTGGGGTATTCTGTAGTGAGTACAACCCTGTTAGGGTTTTCTATATGTATCCCATTGTTTACTAGTGAAACCCCTCGAATGTTGTTCTTCTCTCATGCTAGTACCCAAAACCCTAACTATGGCTAATAGTACTAGCTATTATTCTCAACATGGTATCGGAGCGTTTACGCTCCTGGTCTGTGGGCCCACCTTCTTCCGCGGCTGTACTGTTTGCCCCGCGCCCCGTGGCGCGCGGCGTTTTTTCCTTCCCGCCGCACTTGGGGCGCGCGGCGGTTTTCTGCCCGTCACGCGCTCGGGGCGCGCGGCGGTTTTCTGCCTGCCCCGCGCCCCGGGCGCGCGCGGCGGTTTTGTCGCCCGTCGCGGCGCCCCGGGGGCCCGCGCGCTGTCCCCTCCCGTCGCCCGTCGCGGCGTCCCGGGGGCTCGCGTGCCGCCCCCTCTCGTCGCCCGACGCGGTGCCCTGGGGGCCCGCGCGTCGCCCTCCCTCCCGTCGCGCGTCGCGGCGCCCTGGGGACCCGCGCACCGCCCCCTCCCGTCGCCCGTCGCGGCGCCCTGGGGGCCCACGCGTCGCCCCCCCTCCCGTCGTCCGTCGTGGCGCCCTGGGGGCCCGCGCGCCGCCCTGCGCGTCGCCCGTCGAAGCGCCCCAGGGACGCGCTTATCAGAATAGTAGCTAGAAAGTTAGAACGGAAGAAGGGGTTGCACTAGCAGCAGATAGGATACATATAGCAAACCCTAATTTGGGCTGTACTCACTATAGAGTACCCCACTGCAGGCTAGATAATTATCACATTCTGACACACCCCCATGGTCAAAGTGGGGTATAATCAGCAAAACAAGCAGTCATAGAGCAGGTTCACCAGTACAAGCAAAGCTAGAGGCATTCACAAAGGGCAAGAGAGGAAGAGAAGGATGGACTGTAAGAGGAGAGGAGATAGGAGGCGACGACTGAAGCTGCAGACACACGGGCAACAGGAGCGGCGCGCACAGTGGCTACCGGGCTGCAGGGGCGGTTAGCGAGCTGCAGGAGGGGCAGCGCGCGGGCCCCCGAGGGCGCCTCGACGGGCGACGGGAGGAGGGCAGCGCGCGGGCCCTTAAGGGCGCCTCGACGGGCGACGGAAATGGGGGGCGCGCAGGCCCCCGAGGGCGCCACGCTGGGCGACAGGAAGAGGGTTTAGGGTACCCTAACGATGGGTTAGGGTTTAGGGCCCCACGACGGGCCAAAACCCTAACTATGGCTACTAAGTACTGGCTATTATTCTCAACATATAGAAACATTCCCGAAGGCTCTCCACTCGCGTGTCACTCCATAACGAAGCAACGCGTCTGTATCAGTATCGCAGTAGCTCATATAGAGCATGCGGAAGATTGAGGGTCACCCGAAGGTCAACAGTTGAAGACAGTCAATGGTAGTGACCCTTGACCACTCAGCGCACGTGGCAGTTACGAGATGCAACGTGGTAGCTGTCGAGAATGACAATAGTCGTGGTTACTGTAGCAATGTAATTTGGTGAATAAGGGAATGTACCCCTCATATTACATGGCTAGCTAGGATTGCTATTTATATTTCTGTACTCCTGTCGTATAATCATCTTATTCTCCTTCAACTTATTAACAAGGCCATTCCAGAGACTTCAAAGTCTTTTTACACTTGACAGACTAATCCTATCCACTACGATTCTTCGGTTATAGCAACAGTCTGTGTGTGCATGCATATGCGTACATGTGTGTGAGGTTTATATGCATGCGTATGCATATACGCGTGTAGATATATGCATACGTATGCTTAAATCAGGGCTGACGTTTCAAATTTAGGTACCCTGATGTCCACCAAAAAAAAAAAATTTTTAACCCTGAAGGCATATTTTCCAGAAAAGCAGCACCCTGATTGCTCAGTGTTGGGAAGTTATACAGTCTGAGTGTTCAGGGTCGAGAAGTCACGATCAGGGTACGTGTAGTAACGCGCTGTGCATTATCGAAACTGAACTTTGATGGCGAATCTGTTCTGTGAAAGGGCGAATGTGCAATGTCAGATACATTTTACTGTGATTGGTCAAGACTTTTGTGCTCTGACAGCTCAAATCTGCTGTGTCAGGGCCATTTCGCTGTGATTGGGCAAATTCGTTGCTCCGTACGGCGCGAATTCGCTTTGTCAACGCGAATTTTTAATGACGCTGGTGCTGTGACCAGTCAAGACGGGTTTGACTCACCAGTTTGACCCTCACTAGTGAACCTCGGAGGTGGGTGTATCGAAAGAAAATTTCGAGGAAGCTTCCTCCCGATAAACTTGCATGCAGGGACCACAGAACGCATACTCTGTAGTGACAGACTCCAGAAATGACTAACACTGAGGCCTATTACGCTGAATCAGGGGCCATAAAACAATAACTCTGAGGCTCTCAGTGATGAAAATTTGACTACTCTGGAATTCCATTTTTCACAAACTCGATGGTCTGATCCGTCAGACTAATCAGAATATTTACTGTGATAGCGTCAGCCCTGGCTTAAATGCGTATATGTATTTGTGCATTTATATGTATGCGTCTGTTATACGTGTGTGCATGTGATTTGGTGTATGTGCGTATGTGGATGAGTATATGTGCATGTGTGTGTTTATTTCTGTTGATAGATATGCAATGTAGATTGTCAGCTTCTTGTGAAAATTTATTGTATCTTGTGGCGTCACATATTTGATGTCTTTTATGAAGGCACTTCGTTCCACACAAGAAAAGATATCAAAGCGGCTGCAAAAGGATGTAAACTGTGGACGTTCAGGTTTGGTGGTGCACCACCTCTGCAAATTCCTAGCCATCAGCTACAGTACCCATTTTCGTTCTTCCCCTCCCACATCTCCTTGCGTCCCCCTCCCACAGCCATCTCCGCTGGATCGCCTCTGTTTCGCTCTCTCCTTTCTCTCCCTATCCCTTTTTCCTCTCTCCCTGCTTGGAGTCCAACCTCTTTCAGTTTTTTTTTTCTCGCTGGCTCGTTTCCAGCGCGCAACATGGTGCGTCCTCCTCCCTCCACCGTTTTCGACCATAGTCTCTTAGTGATATAGTTATCTGCGATACGGGTTAGCTGTTGGATTGACGATCGTTGCGCGTGTGCTGCTGCAGGCTCGAGGATTGAAGAAGCACTTGAAGAGGCTCAATGCCCCACGCCATTGGATGCTTGACAAGCTCGGGGGAGCCTTCGTGAGTCTTTCGCTGCCGCCTCTCCTCGCAATAGCTTACTTTCTCCTCGATCAACCCGTTCTTAAGCAGCTCGTTTTAGCAACTTAATTGTGCTTACCCGCGGTTCGGAGTGCGTTCCCACGTCGGCACAGCTCATCTTTTAGCGAAACTTACTGCTTAGTTTCGACAGGAATTCTTGCATTATTTAGATCAGGCAGTTCTGGAATCGCCACGTCCTGCTAGCACCTCGTGCGGTTACGTCTCCTCAAACCTCTGTCTTCTCTGCTAGTTCGCCTCGTCGTTTTCTTCGAACTCCGCGTGCCATTTCCCAGCTGCGAATCGCTGTAGTCTCCCATATCGCCTCCTTGTTCCCCCTTCCCGCCTGTTTCTCTGCGTGTGCGCATCAGGCCCCGAAGCCGTCCCCCGGGCCGCACAAGGAGCGCGAGTGCCTGCCGCTGGCGGTGATTCTGCGCAACCGGCTCAAGTACGCGCTGACGTATCGCGAGGTGAACGCCATCGTCATGCAGCGCCTCATCGCCGTCGACGGCAAGATCCGCACCGACAAAACCTTCCCCGCCGGCTTCATGGGTGCGTGCCGCCGCCTACCTCCCACCAAGTGGCTAACTCGTGCTGCTCCCAGGTGCTCGATGCGTGTTGACGAGTTGAGGAGACTTTCTGCGTGATCGTGATTTGGTGCGTGCGAGCGAGCGAAAACAGCACGAATAGACAGGCCAAGTGCGTTTGGACTTTAGGTTGCGAGCGGGAAACCCTATCACTCTTATCACCGCTCACCTTCAGACGCTCCAGATCTGCGTTCCTTCCGCTGCTGCCGCAGTAGCCGGGTCCCTGCTTCAGTCGTTAGGTATCCGCGAACTCGATTCCACGACAGCTAGGGTTTCTGCCGTCAACGTGCCTATCACATTCCAAAGCGGCAAATGCCTCAACCTTCAACAAACCCTCGCTGCATCAGGGTCTTATTCGTAGTCGTTTTTTCTCCTGGTGGGCCTCCCGTCTTTAGCAACCGAATTTGAAGACGTCTGCGGTTTGTCCAGGGTATTAAACAGTTATGGACGTTACTCAGCTATAGCCGTTAACAATCGGCCTTTTATGGAGTTAGTTTTGAGTTGGTAGGTTACCGATTAGTTGCAGCTTGTTCCGTAGTGCGAGGTAAAAGGCGATAGCAAAGTCGACTTCGCTGCACTCGTCCAGGACTAGTCAGGGCGCGCACCTTCGCTCGCTCGGTCGCTCGCCGGCTGCTGTAACGGTAGGCGGCGTGGTGACCGAGCGGGTGCCGGCAGTGCAACGCCCGTTACATTCCTGGCACATGGACTGAGAGGTTACGTTGCAGCACAGCCCGCCGCCCTTGCTGGCGTGCGTTCGTGGCTGTGCCTGCTCCATTGGCCTCCGACATTCGTCGCAGCACCTGGAAATTCAGTGCACCGCACTCATAATTCACCAAACCTGGACCCCCACTTATGGTTCGCGCTCTGCTTCGTGCGCCACTTGCCTCGATAGGCTCCATTCTTGGCAGTCATGACCCATACTTCCACCCACACTCAGTTTCTCCATGCGCTATGCTTCTCCGGGTGTCTCTCGTGTGTGCGTGTTTGCGTGCGTATGTGCCTTGGTATGTGCGTGTACATGTGCCGGTGCCCGCGTCTGTCCCTGTGCGTCGACGTCTGCCTGCTGGAGTGTCCACTTGCAGACGTGGTGTCGATCGCGAAGACGGACGAGAACTTCCGTCTGCTGTACGACAGCAAGGGCCGCTTCACTCTGCACCGCGTCACGCCCGAGGAGGCTAAGGTACCACCTCCGCCTCCCCCCCTCCTCCCCCCCTCCTTCCCCCGCCCCTCTCCCCCCCTTCCCCGCCATTTTCACGCACCCCACGTTTTCCCGCGCGAGAGCACATGCCCGCCACGTTGTGTTGCTGAAAGGAGAGGCTGGGGGTTTGGAAGGGAGATTGCGCAAGCGAATACAGATTGAGGAGGCGGCACGGCGCGGGTGGTTTATAGCGCTGGGGGTTGAGGAGGAAGGAGGCAGGGTTTATCGGCGTGGCATAGTAGCGAGCGGGCTCATTTGGCACTGTAGACAAGATCCCATACGGGTCGAGGCGAGGGACAGTGCATTTGCTCAGAGGCGTCCAGCTGAGGCTGCGTTAATGTCTCGCCGGATTGAAGGCACAGAGTGAAACGCTTCGTTACGGTGTTGCAGGGTCGAGGGTTATCTGGTTGAGCTGGGGATTTGTTTAGGCTGTGTCGCACAGCTGGGTTTGCTGTTGAGGCGACAGGCTGCGTACCGCGAAGGATGTAGTTTGGTAGTTGCGAAGGAGTGAAGTTATGGCCACGAGCGAGAGTGGGTGCAATGAGGCTTCGGTGTGGCAGGTATAGTGAGTAAGCCGCGTGCAGAGCCTGCGTCATCGTCGCATACACGCCGTGTTCCTCGCCTCCACTGCCTTCGCCGTTCCATCTCAACTCTGCCCCGTTTGCGCTTTATTTACAAGTCCTTGCCCATCCCCCCCCCTTCCCCCCTCTCTCTCCTCCGCTCCCTGTTTCCGCCCCTTCTCGTGCTCCGCGTCCCTCCGCCTTCAATTCTCGCAGTACAAGCTGTGCCGCGTGCGCGCGCAGCGCGTGGGCGACCGCGGCATTCCGTACATCGTGACGAACGACGGGCGCACGATCCGGTACCCCGACCCGGTGATCAAGGTGAACGACACGGTGAAGCTGGACCTGGAGAGCGGCAAGGTCGTCGAGCACATCCACTTCGACACCGGCAACCTCTGCATGGTCACCGGTGAGTTGAAAGGCAACCTCTGCATGGTCACCGGTGAGTCGAAAGGCAACATCTGCATGGTCACCGGTGAGGGCTTTCTAGGGGCTGGGGGAGGCAACCTCTGTATGGTCACCGGTGAGGATACACCTTGGGGAGGTGACCTCTGCATGGTCACCGGTGAGCAACCTCTGCATGGTCACCGGTGAGCAACCCATACATGGGTAGGTGCTATCTGCTTGGTCACCGATGAGCATCCCATTCGGCAGGGGCAGTGGGAGGTTCCAACTGCATGGTCACCGCTGATCAAGGGGGCAGGGGGAGGCGCTATCTGCGTGGTCATTGGGTATATCCAGGTTCAGGGGGAGGTGACATCCGCATGTTCACCGTTGAGGACAGGGCAGAGGTTGAGGTTTTATCTGCATGGGTACTGTGAGCGAGGAATGAGCGAGGATTGACTACTGCGGAATGCTGTTGGTTCGCAGATACCGTCTTGGTTACCAGGTGCTGTATGGTTGTGTGTGGTATGGTCTGATGTGGGGATGCCAAGGGACAGAGCTGCACAGGGGATGGGCAAGAGGGGGGACAGGGGTTGAGAGGAGAGGAGTGGCATGCATTAAAACCACTGGCTTCGCTTGAGTGTGTCCACAGTTTCTGTGATCACCTCCCACTTCCCATGCTCTCGTGACACTAATTCTGGATGTCCTTCTGTTATTCCTCCCCTCCCCATGCGACAGGTGGGCGCAACAGGGGGCGAGTGGGGGTGATGGAGCACAGGGAGCGGCACAAGGGCAGCTTTGACATCTGCCACATCAAGGACGCGGCGGGCCACCAGTTCGCCACGCGCCTCACCAACGTGTTCCTCATCGGCCAAGGCGCCAAGCCCTGGGTCTCGCTGCCCAAGGGCCGCGGCATCAAGCTCTCCATTGTCGAGGAAATGCGCAAGGCGCGCGCCGCTGCCAAGACCGCCGCTTGATTTAGTGCTAGTGCTGCCTTGCGGACGATGTCTGTCGTCGGGGTGCTAGTGTTGAGGGCAAGTGGAGAATATGTGATGCTTTGTGTGCGCGTGCAATACAAGCTGTTACGGGTGAAATTGCATAGATGCAAGCGTTGTAGAGTTTGAAATGAGTGAAAGCCCTTGTCCTTTTCTGCATTAAATAGCTCAAGCTACTTGTATAACGGGATGGATGGGAGAAACCAAAGTTAACACGGAAAACAACAGTGTACAAGTATTTTGATATACTTTAATTGCCGAATTAATCCCAGGTACACTTTCTAAGGACGCGTCACAATTGCGAAATCGATCCTGCGGGAGATAGATGTTCCGAGTATACAGTAGTTCGCTGTATCTTGTATCCCGTTCCTGCAAAGACCCGTCACAAGTCACCGAACGCGATGTCCCTTCCAGATCGATCTGTCACCGTACTCAAACCCTACGTAATGCATTTTAAACTTTTTAAAAGGCCTCTAACCCCGCTAACTATCGAACCTGAAGACAATCGCGACACATCTGGCTCAGAGATCGATTCTCGCAGATTCGGTGTGTGACCGCGCGATCCTCCTCGATGTCGCAATTGTGACGGGTCCTAAGGTTTGCTGAAAGTAGGGTGGCCGGAGCACCCCAGGGGGCGCAGCAGGCAGAAGGACAGCCGAGGGTGCCAGGGGGTGAGAGTACCTGGTTTGTAGATCATGCACAAACCTAAGACATATTAACAAACAATTTATGTTGAAAATTATGTTTTTATGCGTTGATGTTACGAGTGCAATTGGGTGAACGAACGAGAATTGCACTATCGAAGCAAGAGTACAATGAGCGAAGGCATGAGCGAAGAATATATAGCGAAACTACAGTGGTAACGGCAATGGTCGCGCGACGAGCCTGGGACTGAGGTTGGGAAAGTGTCGAAGCGTAGGCCCGGAGCGCGGGTTACCAGCCGAGCCGTGAGGTCGGGATGCAATGTGCGAAAATGGCGGGATGATGAATGATGCGATGGTCGCGAGTGGTAACGGTGCTGACTGAGGTGCTACAGTGATGTACGCGTTGAGCAGGGATGCGAAGTAAGGAAAAGGGAATTTCCTTACACTACCCCCCCCCTCCTAAAAGGTCCTTACGAAAGCGCGTAGACGTCTTTGAAGTTTCGGCTGCGTAGATAGTCGGTGACGACAGGGTGGTTTTCAATTCTGTCCAGGGGAACCCAGTTGTCCTCGGTGGGTGTACGATCTTTCCAGCGAATCAGAAACTCAACTTTTCGGGCCCCTCGAGGGTCGCGAACTCTGTGGCTCAAGATTTTGTCGGGGGTGATGACTGGTTCGGTTGGTGGTCGTGACATGCTGGATGGTCGATGTCGTGGGAGTTGGCTGGTGGATGGTACGTAAGGGCGAAGCAGGCTGACGTGGAACGAGGGGCTGAGGTACCAGTCAGCAGGAAGGAGGAGGTGCGCGGTGACAGGTGTGATCATGTGACTGATTCGAAATGGCCCACAGTATCGAGGGCGAAGTTTGGGAGTGATGGGCAGGCGGAGGTTCTGAGTGTCGAGTAAAACGAGGTCGTCGGGCTGATAAGTGACGGGTCTGCGGTGGCGATCGGCGTTGCGTTTAGCGATGATATTTGATTTTTTAATTGCTCTTGCTGCCCTGGTCCGTGCTGCTCGCAAAATCTCGGCGAACTGTTGTGCGCGTGGAACGGGATTGTCGGGGTTTGGTGTCATGGGTACTGTTGGGTTCTGTCCGTAATTCAAGTAGAATGGCGACTGTTGGGTCGTGGCAGATGGCGCGTTGTTGTATGCGAACTCGATGAGAGGCAGCTGCTGCTCCCACGTGTTTGGATCGTTACACGTGGCTCGAATGAGTTGCTCCATAGTCTGGTTTGTCCGTTCTGTCTGTCCGTCGGTTTCGGGGTGATACGATGAACTGAATTGAAGTCGCGTGCCGAACTGCTGCAACAGGTTCCGCCAGAAATTACTGGTAAACTTCGTGTCCCTGTCGCTGATGATCGACGCTGGTATCCCGTGCAGTCGAACGACGGTGGTGATGAAGAGTCGGGCTGTTTCCTCGGCTGTGATTGATTTCCTGCATGCTGCGAAATGTGCCATTTTCGTTAGTCGATCGACGACGACCAGGATCGCGTCATTCCCACTCGCCCCGGCCGGTAACCCCGTGACGAAGTCCATCGTCACTTGCTGCCAAGCACGCTCTGGAGGTGGGATTGGTTGTAATTGTCCTGCCGGCCGCTTCCTGGTTGACTTCATGAGTTGGCAAGTGGGACACGATGCCACGTGTCGTTGCACGTCGGTCAACATTTCCGGCCAGTAATAGTACCGCTGCAGCTGCTGCCGTGTTTTTTCTACTCCGAAATGTCCCGAGGTAACTCCGTCGTGTGCCTCCTGTAACAGTAGTTCCCGTAGTAGCGTGTACCCTGGTACCCAGATGCGGTCGGATCTAGCTTTTACGTAATAGGCTCCCTTGGCTGCTGCAAATTGCTGTCAATTTCCTCCTGTGAAGAATGGGTCTGTTTGATATCCGTGGGTAAAAAGTCCTGTCAGTAACGGGCTGGTCTGGGCGAGTAGTATCGCATGTATTTGGTGTCGGATTATTATAACTGATGCATGTTTGTAGGCTATAGCGGGGTAGCACATATGGGGTACAGGGTTTCTAGGGTTGTATTTGTACCCAATCTTTCCTTAGTCATTTCATTCCTGTTTTCCTTGTTTCACATGGTATAGAGCGGGTCCTACCTTAGGACCGTTTTTTTTTAGGGCCCACCGAAGCGCGCCCCGAGGCGCGCCTTTTTTTTTAGCGACCCCTCGGGTCGCCTTTTCCCTCGCGGCCCCGCTGTCCCTCAGACGCGGCCCCGCCACCTCTCCTGATCGCGGCCCCGCCGCCTGTTTGACGCGGCCCCGCCGCCTCTCCTGACGCGGCCCCGCCGCCTCCCCTGACGCGGCTCCGCCGCCTCCCCTGACGCGGCCCCGCCGCCTGTTTGACGCGGCCCCGCCGCCTTCCCTGACGCGGCCCCGCCGCCTCCCCTGACGCGGCTCCGCCGCCTCCCCTGACGCGGCACCGCCGCCTCCCCTGACGCGGCTCCGCCGCCTCCCCTGACGCGGCACCGCCGCCTCCCCTGACGAGGCTCCGCCGCCTCCCCTGACGCGGCCCTGCCGCCTCCCCTGACTCGGCTCCGCCGCCTCCCCTGCTGGCCCGCCGCTGCACCTGCCGGCCCGCCGCTGCATCCAGCGGCCCGCCGCCTCTGACGGCCTCGCCGCTGCACTTGCCGGCCCGCCGCCTCTGACGGCCTCGCCACTGCACCTGCCGGCCCGCCACTGCACCCTACGGCCCGCCGCCTGCACCTGCCAGCCCGCCACTGCACCCTACGGCCCGCCACTGCACCTGCCGGCCCGCCGCTGCACCTGCCGGCCCGCCGCCTGCACCTGCCGGCCCGCCCCTGCACCTGCCGGCCCGCCACTGCACCTGCCGGCCCGCCGCTGCACGTGCCGGCCCGCCGCTGCACCTGCCGGCCCGCCACTGCACCGGTAAACCCGCCGCTGCACCTGACGGCCCCGCCCCTGGATCTCCTGGCCGAGCCGCCCCAGCAGCCGAACCGCCCGTGAGCCGAGCCGCCCGACGACGAGCCGCCCGGGCCCCGAGCCGCCCTGCCGCCGAGCCGCCCGGGAGCCGAGCCGCCCTGCACCCGAGCCGCCCAGCCGCCGAGCCGCCCGGGAGCCGAGCCGCCCAGCAGCCGAGCCGCCCTGCACCCGAGCCGCCAGGTCGCTGAGCCGCCTTTCTGCATACCTACTCGACCTGCCTTGCCTGGTGAGCACAGTCCCACTGACACTGCGAGCTCTTTCCCTGCTGCTTGCACTGCGTCGCTGTCGTCGCCATGGCTACCCCTAGTGTCCTAACTTTTGACGCTGAGGGTCGCGCCATTGATTTTGAGGTCTGGTTAGACGACCTGCAGCTGTTCTTACAGTGCGACAGGGCTGACGACCTTTCTCTCTTTGATCTCACCTCTGGCGCCTCTCCTGCTCCTGCTGCTGATGCTGATCCCGCTGTCCGCTCTAAGTGGGCCACCCGCGATGCTGCTGCACGTCTTGCTGTGCGTCGCCACCTCCCTACCTCTGAGCGTGCGCACTTTAGTCAGTACAAGAGTGCTCAGACCTTGTACGACGCTGTAGTTGCGCGCTACTCCTCCCCTGCCACTGCTGCACTGAGCCGTCTCATGCTTCCCTACCTCTTTCCTGACCTCTCTGCCTTTCCCACTGTCGCTGACCTCATTACGCACCTCCGAACTAGTGACACTCGCTACCGCGCCGCCCTTCCTGCTGAGTTCTGCGCTAAGAACCCCCCCCCCCATGTACATCGCTCTCTACTACGTAGTCGCGCGCCTCCCTGACTCCCTTCGCGTCGTCAGGGACCACTTTCTCGCAGTCTGTCCCACCACCCTCACCGTCGACCTCCTCGAGAAGGCACTCCTTGCAGCGGAGAAGAGCATAGTCGCTGTAGGTGCTTCTCGTGGTGACCCTCGCACCCCCATCTTTGAGGGGTGCTCTCCTTCCCCCTTGCTGCCCTCTGTTGCCTCTGCTGCTGCTGCCGACCTGCTTGGTCTTGAGTCGGTCGGCGCGGCGTCTGCCCCTAGTGGGAGACGTCGCTCCAGCAAGGGCAAGGGGGGCAAGGGCGCGGGTGGAGCTGGAGGGGGCGGTGGCGGCGGCGGCGGTGGCGGCGGAGGGAGTGGGGGTGGCGGCGGGACTAGTGGCGGGGGTGGTGGTGGTGGTGGTGGCAGCAGCGGCGGAGACGGTGGTGGTGGTGGCAGCGGTGGTGGTGGAGGCAGCTGCGGAGGTGGAGGCGGCGGAGGTGGAGGCGGTGGAGGCGGCAGCGGAGGAGGCAGTGGTGGTGGAGGAGGTGGAGCTGGTCGGGGTGGTACCCAGCAGCGTAGCGGCGGTGGTGGTGGCCAGCGCTCGCACCGGCAGCAGCAGCAGCGCTCGCGGG